TCTCCTCAATTTATAGTATGTTCTCATATTTCCATTCTCATGACAGGTAGTGGCAAAGTTCCTGAGAATGCAGAGATGTGTAGTAGTGTGCCTCAGTAGAAAAAATCTTCCCAAACAACTCGTGAACTCCTGTGTATTATACAGATCAGTGCAAAATAATTTCTGAACATACTTAATTATTTAGGTGGCACCCTTGCTCACAGACTAGGTTTGTGAGAACAGCCATAGAGTTTTGAAATCTGAGAAAAATGAAGCAAATATGAAAGTGTTATCAAGGACGGGGTAAAAATTTGTGAAGGACAAATTCCAGAAAGGGCTACCTGTTAAATTCTCATCGAAAAATGCTGAAATTTAGGCATTTGCATGGACATATACACGTGATATCCTTCTGAATGGAAAGGAAAAGGTGTGTCATCTCTGAATTAAGAGCTGATTTAGTGGCTTGGTTGTTCATAGTTTAAATATGGAAATGCTCTGCAATGGAATTTACCAAGTGGTGTAAAGGAGAAACTCTAAACAGAAATTTTGCAGTGACATCAATAGTTAGGCATAAAGGGTTTCCTGCTGAGGATGGATCAGAAGAGCATGGAAAGGATGTGCAAGTGACTGACAGAATGCAGGAAGCCAATAGCAGGACATACAACAGAGATGATCTTCACTGAAATTCAGGTAGTTCTTAGAGTAAGTGTGAAGTTAAAGTTGGGTTCTGATTGCTTCCTTGAGGTGATCAACACCAGCTCTGGCAACAATCAGTATTTCACATCCTTGCCAACCCATGAATTTTCTGTTCCATACTTGAGATCTAATTTGGATTATCTCTAATTATGCCCCAGTGTCATGAAGGTAAATTGTGGATTTTTTTGTACCAAGGATCGAACTCCTGACCTATGCTTTCCAGGCAGGCGTTCATGCCACTGAGCTAAATACCCAACTATGAAAGTGTTTTCTTTGTTTTGTGGAAGATATCCACATTGTTTCCCAGAAAGTGTTGAATATTGTTGGAATTTTTCCATATTATATGGCTATAATTTTTAAAAACAAACCAAAGGTGTCTTATGCAGTCTCTTTTCAAGTTTCACTTTGTCTGTGGGGTGTCACAGTCAGGGTTTCTCTATGTTAGACAGCTTTGTAACTTAGGATAGCCCCAAATTCAAGGAAGAAGTCCTTCACCAGCCTCACAAGATATATTCCTTATATCTGAATTGAAATTGAACGCTTGGTGACAGTGAGCTATAAATTACAGCTTGGGCCTGGTTCCATTTTATATACTTATTTTTTGAAAACAGCATTTTCCACTAACATTTGAGTTATTATTTGTGTACCATATTGGATGTTATTTATGTTTTGTTCTATGAAACCAAATTCATGTTTCAAAATGCTGGTGAAGTATATTAAGAACAAAGTACTCACTGGCCTAAATGAGATTTGAAGAGACATTATCTGCAGCCTATCAAAGTGACTGATGAGGTTTTTTTTTCTTTTTTTTAAATTTTGAAAGTGGTAAAATACAAAAGAACAAGGCAGAATAAGGCCAACTAAGATCATACAGTGAAATTGGTACACAACTGCAAAACTGATTACTGTGATAACACTAATAGATATCACAGTATATTTTATTATCTTTATAATAGTTGTTTTTTTTTTTTTTTTTTTTTTTTTGTCTTTTTCCTTTTTATCAGTACCGGGGATCGAGCCCACGACTGTCTCCTTTCAAGGCAGGTGCTTATGCCGCTGAGCTAAATCCCCAGCCCCAATAGTTGTTCTTTCAAACACGTATATCAAAATGAGATGAAATACAGAATATTATAGTACTTATCAAAACAGAATATTGAATAGAACAATACCATTAATCAGAAAAGAGAAAAACAGTAATAAAAATATTTGCCTTCAAAGAGACAGTAGAAGGAAGTCCCCCTTGTTTGTTATCATCTGCTTCCCAGGAGTTGCTCAGATTTCTGGTTCCCATTTGCTAACGGGGGGGGGGGGTGACAGGAGAAGAGGGGTAGGGAAGTGGGATGTTTGATTCTAGGTGGTGCATCAGTAGGTTCACTATTGCTTAGTAGGGAGACAGGCTGGTTGTTTTGTTTAACAGCATACTAAGTTGCCACATGGTGTGGATCTCAGGAGCTGCTGCTGGTTTTCCCCCTGGAAGGGCAGCATTCTGCCAGACCTCCACCACTTACCAGGGAGAAGTGGTGCTTGCTTGCCTTCCAAGTGTCCTAAATTCCAGCATGGCATGGATCTCAGGAGCTGCTGATGGTTTGCCCCCTGGATGGGCCACAGTCCGCCACACCGCCACCACTTACCAGGGAAGGGAGGTGCTTGCTTGGCTTCCCAGTTGATTAATGGGATATTTATCTGCCTCTGTGCTTTGTGGATGCTGGTCCTGCAGGCTTCTCACTGTGAGCTCTGCATTAGAGACAGTACACAGGCAATATGGCAGTGACTCAGCACAAGAATCAGTGCTCCTATTTCACTGTTACATTAGCAGTGAGTTGCAATCTATCATCAAATTTGCTTTCTTCAAAAATGTATATATACACAAAATTAATGACCAAGACATGGATTTAAATTTGCAGAAATCAGTCTTCATTCAGCTGTTTGTTTGGTTGTATTTGTTTAGTTTTGTTTTGTTTTATTGAGACAAGCTTTCTATATGTATATCAGCTAGATTTGAACACCCTAGAATTGCCCTGAATTCACTGAAACCATTCTGCCTCAGCCCTTTGAGTGCTGGCATTATAGATATATACCACCACACTTTGCTTTTGATTCAGATTTGTAGGAAAGAATTTAGAATATCCCAAACCTGGTGTCTCAATCTTCGTGTGAGAAATATATGTATGATCCTTTAGGAGGTGGTGACCTTTGAGGATGTGGTTGTGAACTTCAGCAATGAGGAGTGGACTTTGCTGAGTCCATCCCAAAAGAACCTCTACAGAGATGTGATGGGCGAAACCTTTAGGAACATGACTGCAATTGGTAAGGACAAAATACTTTTGTCACTCATGCTGTCAGAATGTTGTATGTTGCTGTTTCATTAAAAACAATGTGAAAATATTTTTAAAAATAGCTCAGACCTGGACACATTATATCATAACTCTAAACAAAATCTGTTAATTTGTATGTATTATTCTAATGAGTGCTGGTATTTCTATGTCTACAATTCAGGAGGACTTGGGGATATCCAGGAAGCTGGAAAAGAATGCAAAATTTACTGGAGATACTTAAGGTAATTCGCACTCATAAGGAGAAGTAATGTTTCTGAGTAATTAGTGAGTCAGCAGAAAAATGACCGCCAAAGAAATGAGGCACCATTCAATTTATTGTCAGTAATATTCTCTGAAGACTTATAAGCTAGGGTATGTATAATGAGTGGATTAAATCAAGAAAATGTATGACATTGCATATAGATGTGTATGAAAGGCATACACTTTGAGTTATGACATTCTCTCTTCAGTTTTTCTATCCATATATACATGTGAATACAACACAGTCATCATCTAAAAATTGCTAAGATTGCAATAGAATTTGAAATAAAATGGAGTTCTTGTGTTTCCAAGCCATGCTCTGAAGAATCAGCCATTCTGACTAAAATTCTTAGAAGGCTGGTGGAATGTTAAGTGCACTCATTCTGAATATCAGTGTGCAGTTGTCTCTAGAAATTGATCCCCTCATACTTGTCCTGGATGTATTTTTAAAAATTCAAAATGCACATAAAATACTGATACATTCTTACTCATATACAAAGCAGATCAAGTTATAATAGATCAGGCCTTGAAGGAGCTTAGCTATCTATCACTGGATTTGTGGAGAAGGAAAATGTTAATAGACTCTTTGTGATTGTGCATTCTTGTAAATCCAGCACATTAGGAATCAGATTTTGCACAATGGCAAATTCAAGTTCAAATTTCACAGCTTAATTATCAGCAAAAATCTCTTACAACACATTTAAAAAGCTATAGATTTTATGCTAATAGCTGTTGTTCATTCCCAGCATGGAAAAGAAAAAAATGTGTTATATAATGTCAAAAAATAAAGAATATAATGTCATTTGCCATAAGAAATAGGTGGTTCTTTCTCCCATCAATTCGGTGAAATAGCTCAGCTATAAAACCTAAAAGGTCACAGGATTTCTTTTAGATGAGAAACCAAAATATAAATTGTGGAATGAAATGAAAGAGAGTTAAAAGAGAAAAGTAAGACTGACCATATGGCAAAAGGAACTACAGGTTAAGGACAGAAGGGAGATTGTTATGTGGAAACATATCAGAATGAACTGTATGTGATACACATATGTATCCTTGCCCAAAATGAAGCTAAAGATTCTGCATTTGAAAAGGTACCAAATTTTTAGATTTCCAAATCTGTAGCATTCTTTTGGGACTGGTTGTTTTCAACATGTCTTACAAGGCCATTCTGTTACTTCATGTTCAGAAATTCTTTGCAGACATTAAAAGCAGAACTTGACATTAATGCAGTCATTAAACTGAGACCCATTTCACTGTGAATTTTTGTTTTTTTTATTTAATGTAAGGTAAGAGAAAAAAAACAAAATAAGTAGAAATAATACCCCTTTCAAAGTGAAAATAAACAGTAAGAAATCTAAAGACAGTGATTCCATATGCTGCTAATAGAAATAGTTAATGAAATACAAAAGTGAAACATATGAAGTGGGGATTCAAACAATGAGACTGCAAACAGTTTTGGTCAACTCTCCCATGAAAACTTAGTAATATGGTTATCAATCCTATATGTGATTTTTTAAAAACAGAAATGTAAAGCTAGGGAAATCCTATGGACATACATCTTGGAATCAGTGTAAAGAAGCATTCCTTTGTACTGCAGAAGGTAATGTGAATGTGAAAGAAGCAGAAACACACCACAATGTTCAGATCCATGAAAAATATTGCAGTGGAGAGAAATCCTATGTATGTCAGCAATGTGGAAAAGGTTTCAACAAATCTGGACATTGTGAGCAACATGAAAGAATTCACACTGGAGAGAAACCATATGTATGTAAGCAATGTGGGAAAGCTTTTACCCAACATGGAAATTGTAAGCAACATGAAAGAATTCACACTGGAGAGAAACCATATGTATGTAAGCACTGTGGGAAAGCTTTTAACAGACGGGCAAATTGTAAAATACATGAAAGAATTCACACTGGAGAGAAACCATATGTATGTAAGCAGTGTGGGAAAGCTTTTAACAAACGGGCAGATTGTAAAAAACATGAAAGGCTTCACACTGGAGAGAAACCCTATGTATGTAAGCAATGTGCGAAAGCTTTTAACACACAGGGAGATTTTAAGAAACATGAAAGAACTCACACTGGAGAGAAACCCTATGTATGTAAGCAATGTGGGAAAGCTTTTAACACACGGGCAAATTGTAAAATACATGAAAGAATTCACACTGGAGAGAAACCCTATGTATGTAGGCAATGTGGGAAAGCATTTAACACACAGGGATATTTTAAGAAACATGAAAGAATTCACACTGGAGAGAAACCCTATGTATGTAAGCAATGTGGGAAAGCTTTTACCCGACATGGACATTGTAAGCAACATGAAAGAATTCACACTGGCGAGAAACCATATGTATGTAAGCAATGTGGGAAAGCTTTTAAACAACAGGGAAATTGTAAGCAACATGAAAGTTCACACTCAAGAAAAAACCAGTGTATGTAAGCATCATTAATTTTTTGAGCACAAGTACATATTGCATAATGCATGAAAAACTTCACACTGGGAAGAACTTATATATGTAAGGAATGTGGGAATGGTTTCAGCAGAAATGCTCATTGTCCAATACATGAAAATATTTACACTGTTGAGAAACCCTGTTTATGTGAAGAATGTGGGAAAGCTTTCACCACACATGGATTTTGTAAAATACATCAATGACTCCACACTGGTGAGAAACCCTATGTATATAACAATGTGGCAAAGCTTTTACAACACACAGTTATTGCAAAACACATGAAAGAATTCACACTCGGTAGAACCACTGGCTACGTAAGCAAGTAGAGACACTTTCAGCAGCCAGATTGTAAGTGAAATATGTGAAGAAACTCACACAAGAGATAAATCCTATGTGTTATGGGAATACTCTCAGCACACATGATCATTGTTACATATGTGAAAGAGCTCATTGGATCCTAAGTGTATTAACAATGTGAGAAATATGGTAATCCATGTTTGTTGTTAAATACATAGAAAAAGCAGCACTCTTCATACAGTTTAGATCTAAGTTTACTTTAAAAATTCCAAGTAGACCTGAAGAAATAATCAATACAGAAATTTGATGTCAACATTTCTTCACAAATTTTCCAGAAATGACAAATCTGAAGTGGAGCTCTATTCAAGTACATATTTTGTATGGCTTTCAGTTAATCACTTATACCTCTTTAGATTTTTTAAAGTGTCTTTGTGTTTCAACATGGCATCTTGTAATTAAACATTTAAACTGAAATGGGCTTTTCACTTTCAAGTATGAATAGTGTCTCTGTACTTAATATTTTGTCTTTAAAACTTAATTTTTATATTTTTGATGAATTATTTTTATTTAAAGAAAAAAACCAAAAAGTGTAGAAATAATACAGAAGTTCTGAAAAATAAACAATAAGAAATCACTAGTTGATTAGTTACATATTGTTATCTTAGAAGTAATTGTTCAAGTCACAAAATTAAAGCATACAAAGTGATATTCAAATAATGACACTGTGAACAGTTCACCTCAGTGATCCAACAGGAACTTATTAATATGCTTATCTGATTTACAAACTTGTTTTTTATCTTAAAGATGGTAAGACTAAACATGACAAAACAGAACAGTTCACAAGGAAATAAGTTAAGGAAACACGGGTTTCACATCAAATCCACTGAGATGTTCATTTTCTATCTTACTGTCTCTAGTTTTCTTCAAAATATTTGTTCCCATCTTCACATGCATTGAATATATACTGAACATTATAGAACTAATCAAATAATTACAGGATGACGCACACTTTTTTGATCTTCAAGACTGATTTTGGGAAGTTGATAATGATTACCATAATGTGTCTCATTCCCTTCATAGCTGATATCTTTATTTTTATGTATGCTGAAATTGAACATGAGTGTAAACTAATATCACTCTGAACAGTGAATAATAGTATCCTTAGAAGGAGAAAGGTGAGGAATTGCCTAAAAAAAGAAGGCAGAGGACATTGTTAAAAGTGTATTAGGATTTAAAAGCTACAGTAGTTCTGTTGCTCTGTTTAGTTTGATTATATTTTGTTGTGGTCTGTCTACTCATATTAGATTTGAGGGCACAGAGATATAACCCAAAAATAGAAGGTTATCCTATGATGGTAACTGTCCTTAATTTCCTATTAACTAAAACTGAAACCCTTTATTACTTACACTGTCTTACTATGACTGATGTTATTTGAAGCTGGTTTGTTTGAATGTTATTTGGCCTTGACTGATTTTATTCACATTTGGTATGCTTGCTGGTATGAAGTCCAACAGTAGAGGCAACTACTCTGAAGATGATAAGATGTTACAGATATATATTGTGGGGCTGGGGATTTAGCTCCTTAAGGGGCTTAAGCCCCTGCCTGGCAAGTGTGAGGTTGCCAGTTTGATCCCCCGTAGCAAAATAAATAAATAAATAAAAGATATAAATTCCAGGTTTAATTTTTTTTATTTAAAGAGAAAAAAAGAACATAAAAAAACAAAGCAGTAAAAGGGTACAAATAATACAGAATTTCAAAAAAAATACAGTAAGAAATCACTAGTTAATAGGTTTTATATATTGTCTTCTTAGAAACAGTTGTCCAAATTATAAAATTAAAGCATCTAAAGTGAACATTCCTACAGCAAGATTGCAGACAGTTCTGTTCAATGATCCAACAAAAGCTCAGTAATATGGTTTTCCTTCCTACACACTCAAACAGGCACTTATATCCCTTAGACCACCTTCCTTTCCTCTCTTCTTCACAATAACAATTACACTTTTGGTTTTTTTTTTTACTCCCATAGTTCTTATTACTTTTTTTTTGAAGAGAATAAAACCTCAAGTGAGTTAACAAAACAGAGTTGGTTATAACATAAGGATGGGCATAATACTTGACACAAAAATAGAATATCAGCTGATCAAAAATGGTTATCATTGTGCCTCTTGCTATTTTTAAAAAGAGATGCTATATCGTCAGCTATAATAGAATTGATCAAAACAGTAGAGAACAAGACCAATAAAATCTACACTAGAGACCTTACAGGATTTCAAAAGAAGATAATAGTCAAACCATAATGGGCATCATATTAAATCTTATTGCCTACAAAGTGGTTGCCTATACCCTCAAACTTGATACTATCAAACAAAATAGAATATAGTAAAATCAGGAAGAACAAGATGGGGAGAGGAATACTGGGGTTCAAATCAGGAAAACAAATAGTTACTATAATATATCCCACTATTTTTAATTTAGTTTTCCTTTAATAGAAAAAAAATAAAAAATAGAATATTTTTTTAAAAAAAGGGTGGAGATCGAGATAAAAGAGACATTGTAATAGAACAACACAGGTCAGAACTAAACAATTAAAGCATCATTTTGTTTCACCACCAGATAATCTAACATAATAGTAGTCACCATAGTACGTCTTTCCTTGAATTATTTGAGTATAACTTCGTATACTATAGAATCAATCATATCAAGACAGTGTGAAGCCATTCAAGGATATGAAAGAATTACAGGGTATTTAGAGCCAGTTAACAGAAAATGAACAACGATTTCTATATTATCTCTTTGCCTGTAAAAAATTTTATTTATACTATCACATACGGTAAAATATATGAAGACGCAACATGTTAAAACCAGTGGAAAAATGTACAACAGCTTGATGGGAGTTCCAAAGAAGAGGATATTAAATCAGCACTAGCTTTTATGATGTGTTATTTTCTTCAGAATAGCTATTTGTACTATCACCGATACTAAAATCGAGAAACCCAGGATAAAACCATTGCACTTAATGAGTGAAAACATTATATGGATTCAAACCAATATGATTGGGTATCATGATTACCACATACTTCTATGTATTATCATTTCTTATACTAGGGAATATATTCAGTATTTATACATGTGAGTTTGATTTATTTCACTCCTGAATATGGTCTCAAGCTGTGTCCATTTATTTATATGTCAATGTGATCATTCTTTATATCTGAGTAGTACTCCATTGTATAAAAACACCATAACATTTTATCCATTCCTCAGTTGATGAACACTTAGGTTGTTTCCAAGATCTGGCTATTACAAACTATGCTGCTATAAAAATGGGTGCACATATATCACTATGGAATGATGCTTTCAGTTCTGTGAATATGCCTAGAAGTAGAATAGCTGGGTCAAAAGGTGCTTCCAGTCCCAGCTTTCTGGAAATCTCCAGACTGACCTCCACAATGGTTGCACCAGTCTACACGCCCATGAACAGTGCAAGAAAGTTCCTTTTTCACAACAGTGTCTCCAACCTTTGTTGTTGGTGGTTTTCTTGATCTTGGCCATTCTTTCCGGAGTGAGATGAAATCTCAGTGTAGTTTTAATTTGCATTTCTCTAATGACCATTGATGGTGAACATTTTTTCATGCATTTATTTGTCATTTGTATTTCTTCATCTCAAAATTGTTTATTCATCTCAGATGCTCATTTTTGGATTGGGTTTTTGAATTTTGGTGGTCTCATTTTTGAAAATTCTTTATATGTTTTAGACAGAAGTCCTCTGTCTGAGGGGCAGTTCACTAAGAATTTTTCCCAGTTTGTGGGTTTTCTTTTCACAATAATGGAGATTTCTTTTGATGTGCAGAAACTTTTTAATAAGAGGTGATCCCAATTATTGATTCTGGGAAGCATTTCCCATGCGGTTTGAGTCCTGTTTATCAATTCTCTACCTACTTCTATGTCTTCAAGGTTTTTATCCAATTTGTCTTCCAATAGATTTAGTGTTTCTGTTTTAATATTTAGATCTTTGATCCATTTAGATTTTATTTTAGTACATGGTGATAGGCATGGGTCTAGTTTTAGTTTTAGGCATATGGAGAGCCTGTTTTTCACCACCTTTTATTAAAGAGAATGTCATTCTTCCAGTGAACATGTTTGGCCCGTTTATCAAAGATAAGGGAGTTGAGTGTGCTTGTAGTGGTGGTTTGACCGGAGCCGCGGGAGACAGGAGGCCAGACTCGAGCAGGATCAGCTCTCAAAGTTTATTGCGTACAGTGAACCGGACCTAACAAGGTCCGCCACCCTCAACGTTGGTTCCTCTTCCGCCCGTTGGGGGCAGGAACAACCTCTTAAAAGGGGAAGCAGTATCCAATCACAGAGAAGTGCGCCTAACAAGCTGATAGGCTAGCGTCACGGGTAACTGGGCAGATATGACAATTTGGCGGGCTTGTTCAGGCCGGGAAGAAC